GGGGGGGGGGGGGGGGGGAGATGGCAGAGGGAGAGGGAGAAGCAGACTCCCTGCTGAGCAGGGAGCCTGATGTGGGTCTTGATCCCAGGCCCCTGAGATCATGACCTGAACCAAAGGCAAGCGCTTAACTGACTGAGCAACCCAAGTTGGAGCTTCTTAATCTAACCCTTCCAAGTACCTCATTTGTTCTTTCACGTTTTATCTCTCTCTGAGTTGCATCCTAGGTGAATTTTTCAACTTAATTTCCAGTTAACTAAATGCTTTTTAAATTTTATATAAACTGATATTTATCTACTTACTTTTTAAAAAAAAATAATGACTGTTCTTTTGTCATTTTTCTCTCCAGGATTTTTAAATGGTTTTTCATATACATCTGTTCTTAACTCTAATGGCTTGTGGGTTTTTTTTGTTTTTTTTTTTAAGATTTTATTTATTTGAGAGAGAGTGGGAGGGAGAGGGAGAGAGAATCTGAAGCAGACTGCACACTTAGCACAGAGCCTGACTTGGGGCTCGATCTCATGACTGAGATCATGACCTGAGCCAAAACCAAGAGTCAGACACTAAACAGTATCTGACTGAACGACTGAGCCATCCAGGTGCCCCACTGTGATTGGTTTTTGTTTCATAATGTCTTGTTCTTCTTAAGTGGACTTCATTTATCTCTTTGCAATTTTCTTTTTAAAAAAATGTTTTTTAAGATTTTATTTTTAAGTAATCTCTACATCCAATGTGGGGCTCTATAGCCACTATGAGACCAAGAATCCCATGTCTAGCACCTGGAGCTAGCCAGGTGCCTCTCTATCTGCAATTTCCTAAACATTTACTTTAAAGTTCTGGTTGGATTGTTTCACAAAATCAATTCTGTCTAGAGTGAATTCTTGTTCTGATTATTTTATTAGCGCTTTTTTTTTTTTTGCATTAGGTTTCTTCACGCGTATTGGACTTTTATTTTTTGGCCACTCTTTGTGAGAAATGTTTTGTCCTCATGGCTCACTCATCTTTGCATAGAGGTTTCTTTCGTGGATGCCCCATTAGGGCTCACTCACTCCTAGACCCTGTAGCACAGAGGGGATTTGTTTCCTGGTGTCAAGGCTATGTATCTGTCTTACCTTCTTACTCCTGCAGCTTCTTATATAGCCTGATAGCCTCAGGGTGAGTAGTAAGAAGAGGAGAAACTGTGATGGGAGCTTTATACCCCATCCTTCCAGTCCCCCACCTCTCTGCTACCTAATTCCATTTCATTCCACTTTACTCTATCCCTCTCATCCCCATTTTGTGTCATCTTGAACTGTGAACATGTGTCAATTTAAGTCTCCTGAATGATATGGAGTTTAATTAATGTTCCACATACTCTTGCCTTTACTGTTTGGTAGAACACTGGAGTTACATATTTATGCATGCAAATTAACTGGCTAGTTTTTTATTGCAAATTTTATTGGAAAAGTTTTCCAATTTTGGAAAATTTTAAGGTTAATTTGTTACATTTAGGGTAATTAGAATTTTTAGGCAGCCTTTTTTTTTTTTTTTTGGTAATGGAGGGGAAGGTCTGAGTTTATTTTTTTAAAGCTATGTTGAGATATATGTCAGATATGATGACATTCACCCACTGAAAATTTACAGTTCATTGATTTTTCGTATATTCACAGAGTTGTGAAACCGTCACCACTCTCTAATTCTAGAACATTTTTTTTTTAATCATTCCAGAAAGAAATCCTGTACTGTTAGCAATCACTCTCCATTCCCTCTCTACCTAGACTCTGGAAACAACTAATCTAGTTTCTTTCTCAATGGATTTGCCTATTCTGGACATTTTATGTAAATGGAATCATATAATATGTGACTTTGTGTATTTTAAATAGTGTGTCTTTTGTTGCTAATGAATTGTAAGAGTTCTTTTTTTCTGGATACAAATTCCTAGTCAGATACATAATTTGCAAGTATTTTCTCCAGTTCTGTGGGTTGTCTATTCACTTGAAAAAAAAATTAATCATTTTTAAATTTTTATTTTAATTCAGTTAATTTAACATGTAATGTGTTACTGGTTTCAGAGGTTGAGGTCAGTGATTCATCAGTCTTATTTAATACCAGTGCTCATTATATCACATGCCCTCCTTAATGTCCGTCACCTAGTTATCGCATGTCTGTTCACTTTTGATGGTCTTCTTTGAACAGAAGTTTTTATTTTTGAGAAGTCCACTTTATATTTTCTTTTTTTGCTTGTACTTTTGGTGTCACATTTAAGAAACCATTGCCCAGCCCAATGACATGAAAATATATTCATATGTATTCCTCTAGGAGTTTTGTAGTTTTAGTTCTTGTATTTAAGAATCCATTTTGAATTAGTTTTTGTCTGTTATGAGATAGGGATCTATGTTCTTTTATGTGTGGATATCCAGTTATTCTTGCATTTTTTTAAACTAGATTCATTTTTTTTTTAAGATTTTTATTTATTTATTTGACAGAGAGAGAGAGGGAACTTAAGTAGGGGGAGTGGGTGAGGGACAAGCAGGCTCCCTGCTTAGCAGGGAGCCTGATGTGGGGCTCAATCTCAGGACCCTGGGACCATGATTTGAGCTGAAGGCAAAAGCTTAATGACTAAGCCACCCAGGCGTCCCTAACTAGATTCATTTATATGAAAAGAGTTGTCAGCTCAGAACTGGATGTAACAGTATTTCTGATTTTCTTTTTACATCTTTTTCACAGAATATATTTTTAACCAAAGATGGGACAGTACAACTCGGAGATTTTGGAATTGCTCGAGTACTTAATAGGTAACATTGATTTTAAACTTTGTTTTGACATAATGTCCATAGTGATATGTATGTGATAATTTTTAATACCCGTTAGTATCTTAAGTTTTTCTAATAATTCTCTTTTTGTTCTAGTACTGTGGAGCTGGCTCGAACTTGTATAGGGACCCCCTACTACTTGTCACCTGAAATCTGTGAAAACAAACCTTACAACAATAAGAGGTATTTAAAATGATGTTCGTTACATATATTCCCTTTAAATCTTTCTGTTACGTTTTATTTACTAACCTTCAGAATAGTATTCTAAAATCATTAATACATGTATAAATATATATGTAGATATAGATATAGATAGATAAATATGTATATATATACACCTATTTTTTACTATACAGTGAGGGGGATTGCAAAGAAGCTATTTCATGTCTTGTTAAAGGACATGTAGAAAGTGTCACTTTATTTTTTATTTATTTGTTTATTTATTTAAGTAACCTCTGTACTCCATGTTGGACTTGAATTCATGACCCCAAGATCAAGATCAAGAGTTGCATCATCTTCTGACTGAGCCAGCCAGGCACTCCAAAAGTTTAACTTTATTATTATAAGTTGTAATTGGAAATAGAAGTAATTTTTTGGTCTTTGTAATAGTCATTTCCTAATAGATTGTAATAGTTATTGAACACTTACTAAATGCTAGGCCTTGTTTTGAATGCTTTCTATGTATTCAGTCCTTTAATCTTCACAATAACCTTGTGAATTGTAGTTATTCATTAATCTTCCTTTGCTGTGTAAGGAAGCCAAATACAGAGAGAGAGGTAAAGCAACTTGAAAGCTTCAGGCATCTGGCTCCCAAGCCCAAATCCCTAACCATTAGTTGGCTAACTGATTGTGTTATATGTGTGTGAAATGAGGAATTCTGCCATTGAACTCCATTTACCCTTTATTTTCTCTCTTTCTAATTGAAATATCCTAACCAAGAAACATTGGTCTTAAATTTGAAAGCACCCACAGAACCTAAAAGGAAGAAAGTGATAGCTCCTTTTTTTGAGAGTGGGAAGGAAGCTGTATTTAAAACCTGAGCAGTCGAGGCAGAGAACATCATCCTAGCAATGTGCTTTTTTTTTTTTTTTTTTAAGATTTATTTATTTATTTGAGATACAGAGTGAGAGAGTATGAGCAGAGAGAACAGCAAAGGAAGAGGGACAGAGAGAATCCCAAACAGACTCCCTGCCGAGCATGGAGTCCCAACTCCATCTCAGGACTCCATCCCAGGATGCAGAGATCATGACCTGAGCTGAACCCAATAGTTGACGCACCTGCTGAGCCACCCAAGCACCCTCCCAGCAATGTATTTTTTAAATGATTTTAAATTACAATGATCAGTCTAGTTCATGGAATGTATTTTTAGTGGATATTCTTAAGGATAGTAGGATTTTCTTTAAACCAAATTAATTTTTCATTTTAATGCTATTGCTGTGTCTTATGGATAAGTCAACTGTGAAAAAAATCAGTATTTAAATTAGAAATGGGGGTGCCTGGGTGGGTCAGTGGGTTAAGCCTCTGCCTTCCGCTCAGGTCATGATATCAGGGTCCTGGGATCAAGCCCCATATTGTGCTCTTTGCTCAGCTGAGAACCTGCTTTTCCCTTTCTCTCTGCCTGCTGCTCTGCCTACTTGTGATTGCTTTCTCCTGTCAAATAAATACATAAAATCCTTTAAAAAATAAATAAGGAATGGATTTAATCATCCTTTGGAGAATTTCATGTAAAATTAATTTTGTGGGGAAAATGGTTTAAAAATGTCATGGATAAGCATCATCAGTATACTTCAAAAATTCATATTTTTTCTAAATATGTTTTGAAGTATTTTATTAATAGGATCATTAGTTTAATGAGTTTGTTTATACATAGGTCATATATTAACATGTACTACATTACTAACAAATAATAATAAGTTTAATTACATTTAAATTTTTTTATAAGTTGAATCTTGAAATTAAGTAGATTTTTGGAGTTATATTTGTAGCTTTTCATGAGTTTGGTTCAAGATAACCTTGGAGTTCAATATTGGATTTTATTCTTTTCTATTAAGTTTAACTTTGAGGAGCAGTGGTTTTTGTTGACTACTAAGGACCACTGTAGCTCTGAACTATAAGTCTTTTATTTTTTCTTTTTAAAAATGGAAATAGAATTTTTTAAATTATAAAAATACTTTTAAGATAAAAGAAAGGAAGAAACTATAAAGAACATAGTATATGTCCTTAAAATAATATTAAATAATTAATATATTTACCTTATATAATATTTTAGTAGGCTGTCATAGATTTATTTCAGATTTAATTTTTGTAAATTAATATGTTCTTTTTCATCATTAAAACAGTATTTTGCTTTTAAAATAATTTTTAAAATCATGGTATTTTGTAAGTAATTTAATAAAATAAAATAAATTTTAAAAATTTAATAAAATAAAAAATTCCAGGGGTGCCTGGGTGGCTCAGTGGGTTAAGTTTCTGCCTTCAGCTCAGGTCATGATCTCAGGGTCCTGGGATTGAGCCCCGCGTCGGGCTTTCCGCTCAGTGGGGAGCCTGCTTCCCCCTCTCTCTCTGTCTGCCACTCTGCCTACTTGTGATCTCTGTCTGTCAATAAATAAAAATCTTTAGGGTGCCTGGGTGGCTCGGTGGGTTAAAGCCTTTGCCTTTGGCTCAGGTGATGATCCCAGGGTCCTGGGATTGGGCCCTGCGTCGCTTCCCTTCCTCGCTCTCTGCCTGCCTCTCTGCCTACTTGTGACCTCTGTCTGTCAAATAAATAAATAAAATCTTTTAAAAAATAAATAACTAAATAAATAAAAATCTTTAAAAAAAAATTCCGTATTCATGGAATTTACTGACTTTGTTCTTTTAAATATTACATTTCTTTAATAAAACTTTAATTGCTTGGGCAATGTCCACAATAGCCAAACTATGGAAAGAGCCCAGATGTCCATTGACCTATGAATAAAGAAGATGTGATATATATACACAATGGAATACTACTCAGCCATCAAAAAAAATGAAATCTTGCCATTTGCAACAACGTGGATGGAACTAGAGGGTATTATGCTATGCAAAATAAGTCAATCAGAGAATGATAATTATCATATGATCTTATTAATATGTGGAATTTGAGAAACAAAACAGAGGATCATAGGGGAAGAGAGGAAAAAATATAACAAGATGAAATCAGAGAGGTAGACAAACCGTAAGAGACTCTAAATCATAGGAAACAAACTGAGGGTTGCTGGGGGGAGTAAAGTAGAGGGATGGGGTAATTGGGTGATAGAGGATATGTGATATAATGAGCAGTGGGTGTTATATACAACTAATGAATCACTGAACTCTATCTCTGAAACCAATACTAGTTACATGTTAATTAATGGAATTTAAATTTAAAAATGTTAAAAAATAAAGTGAGGGAATTAATAAAGTAATTGCTTAGGCAACTGATGTTTTTCTAATCTGGGATAGCTACTCTTATTTAGTTATGGTTGAAATTTTGAGTTTTAAAGGATATGTTTCATGGAACAGATATTTTTGGAGAGCATTTTCATGGTGCTTTTATTTCCTTTAAATGAAAAAAAATTAAATTCTGATACTTAGAGAAAATTTCTCATTTTTCCCTTTTCCAGTGACATTTGGGCTCTGGGGTGTGTCCTGTATGAGATGTGTACACTTAAACATGCGGTAAGTAGAGGTTTCTGAAATATTTAAAAAATTATATTCTAAAGTACCTATAAATATATATGTATAAATAAATAAATGTGTGTGTGTGTATTTTTAATCATATGCCACCTTTCAGGTCACTCTCTTTTACTAGAAGTTCTCTGTCAGTTTTTAAATTTCTCATCTTTTCTCAAGTATGAATTTAAATAGATTTTCCCTTAATATATATGTATATATTATATACATATGTTATATATTTGTTATTACAATACATATGCCATACTTTTTTCCAGGAAATTCTTTTTTTTTTTTTTTTTTAAGATTTAGTTATTTATTTTGGAATGAGAGAGAGTGAAAGAGAATCTCTAGCAGATTCCCTGCTGATTGGGGAGCTGGACTAGGGCTTGATCCCACAACCCTGAGATCATGACCAAGAGTCAGATGCTCAACCAGCTGAGACATTCACACACCCCTCCACCAGGAAATTATTTCTAATGACAAAAATAAGCTTTCTGGGGAGCCTGGGTGGCTCAGTGGGTTAAAGTCTCTGCCTTTGGCTCAGATCATGATCCCAGGGTCTTGGGATCAGGCCCATCATCAAACTTTCTGCTAGGAGGGGAGCCTGCTTCTCCCTATTTGTGCTTGCCTCTCTGCCTACTTGTGATCTGTCTGTCAAATAAATAAATAATAATCTTTAAAAAAAAAAACTTGCTATCTTTTTAGTGTTCTATTTATATGTGAATATGGTATTTTAGCTTAATGATTTTTGTTTCATCTTAGCAATTTCTTTTAAAACACCTGAAATATTTGAATTGAATTGTATTTGAGTTTGGAATTAAAATTAAAGAACATTTTTTGACCTGCTCATCAGAGGATTTTATCAATTCAGATGCCCTTTAATTAAAATTTATTTTGGTGGCACCTGGGTGGCTTAGTTGGTTAAGTGTCTAACTCTTGATTTCAGCTCAGGTCATGATCTCAGGGTTGTGACTGGGGTGAGAGTGAGCTAGGCATTGGGCTCCATGTTCAGCAGGGAGTCTGCTTCGCCTCTCCTCTGCCCCTTCCCCTGCTTGTGCACACACACACACACACACACACTCATTCTCATTCTCTGTCTCTCTCTTTCTCAAATAAATAAATCTTTAAAAAATTGTTTTTAATTTTTGAGACTTCGTTGAGATGGGCATAATAATGTCCCAAAGGGGGAGTTTTTTTCTTAAATAGGTTGAATTTTAATCACTTTCCATTTCAAAAGTTTGCTTTTTAAAAATGCTCCCCTGGGGGTGCTTGGGTGGCCGAGTCAGTTAAGCATCCCTGACTCCTAATTTCTGCTCAGGTCATGATCTCAGGGTAGTGAGATAGAGCCCAGTGTTGGGCTTCTTTCTGGGCATGGAGCCTGGTTGAGATTCTCTCTTTTGCTTTCCCTCTGCTCCTCCCTCTATTCCTCCCCTCCACCCTAAATGGGCATGCTCACTCTCACACAAAAAAATGTTTCCTCCATTAAGCAATAATGTATTTTCATTACCGAAAACTTAAAATAAATAAAAATGTAAAGAACTGAATGAATATCAAAAGCAATTCTTCCAGCTGGTAATGAGTACTTGTAATACTTTGTTTTCTTCCAGGCTTTCTTCTAGATTAATTTGTAAAAGAATTTTTTTTTTCTTTCTGCAGTTTAATTATATTGTATAAACAGTTTTAAAGCCTGTTTTTATTGTTTCATATTATTTGGGGGATATTTTTTCTTTGTTATGTTTTTCATGGTTGCATACTCTTAATTTTAAGACTGTATTGCCTTATAAAAGCATAGACTGCCAAAGTGATATGGAATGGTAGTTTATTGGATCTATATTTGAAGGAATTGGTCAGTTTCTCAACACACAGCCATTTTAGGTATAAATCAGTGTATTTTCTTTTATTTATTTATTTATTTATTTATTTTTAAAGATTTTATTTATTTATTTGAGAGAGAGACAGTGAGAGAGAGCATGAGTGAGGAGAAGGGCAGAGAGAGAAGCAGACTCCCCGTGGAGCTGGGAGCCCGATGTGGGACTCGATCCTGGGACTCCGGGATCATGACCTGGGCCGAAGGCAGTTGTCCAACCAACTGAGCCACCCAGGCATCCCAATCAGTGTATTTTCTTTAATTTTTTCATCTATATTCTGTCACCATTGCTTCTGTATTTTGGAATTACATACTCTTAAGTAGACACATGAAATTAAGTAATTTACTAACCTTTATGAAAAGTTTGTCAGTTGAGGGACTGAAAATTCACTGTAGTGAAGGAATAATCTATCCTGCATTTAGAATTCCTTCTTAGGTACATAGCTATTTCTAGACTACTGAGCCTTGTGCTCAAATTTTAGTATACTGAATATCATATTTTAAATGTATGAGAGAACTCAAGATTTAGCAGAACTTTTTTATACTTGGTATAATCACCAATACCTAATTTATAGCATGTTTTGTTTTGTTGATGTGTATGTTAAGAACACAGTAACAGTGCACAACTGTTCTGTTCTATTTTAGCAGAGATGTCAAAAGCTTAATTTTATTTACTTTCAAAATTAAATCTTTAGATTTTAAACTGCCCCACTGCTGTTGGTTTTTTAACTTCAGCTAGAGTTTATATTGTGCTTACTCTTAAATATATACTATTCTGATATGGCTTATATTCCCCTTTGGAATATTTGCCATGTTTCTTACTACATGGCTTTTGGGATCATCACACACTTAATAATAATCAGTGTTTAAAGGAAAGTAATTAGTATTATTTATAAAGATTTATTTATTTGAGAGAGAGAAAGGGCATATGCACACGAGTTGGGCAAGGGGCAGAGGGAGAGAATCTCAAGCAGAATCCCTGAGTTGGATGCAGGACTCGATTTCACGGCCCATGACATGACCTGAGCTGAAATCAAGAGTCGGACCTTTTACTGACTGAATTACCTAGGCGCCCCAGTACTTTCATTTATTATGTTTTTTTCCCAGTACTGTTTTGTAGTTAATTTCTTGTTCCACTTACTGCAACAGGGCCATAGGTAGGCAGGTCTTGAATGAAGACTACAGGTTTGTTTTTGTCTTTATTATTGTTTTTATAGAATCTTTAATACCTTTATTCCATCTTTTAGTATTTTGAGTAAGCAAAAATTAATATTAAACTTTTTATGAGGACTAATATTCTCTTAAATGTGTTTATAAATAACCAAGTGAACTTTGTTCTAAAGAACACATGCTAAAAAAAAGAACAGATGGTAATTAGAATATTTGTAAGAGGATTATATTTCTGTTCTATAGGTAAATAACTTTCTCAGTGTTCCTATTTTCAATTTATGTATGTTTCATATATGTTAATTTATTTTCTGGATTTTAGTTTGAAGCTGGCAATATGAAAAACCTGGTACTGAAGATAATATCTGGATCTTTTCCACCCGTATCTTTACATTATTCTTATGATCTCCGCAATTTACTCACTCAGTTATTTAAAAGAAATCCTAGGGATAGACCATCAGTCAACTCCATATTGGAGAAAGGTTTTATAGCCAAACGCATTGAAAAGTTTCTCTCACCTCAGGTATGTTTTTTTACTTTAAAGTAGTAAGGTTTTGGTGCTTAATTAGGACATGACCTATGTTTTGAGGAGAGTACATCACAGTTCTGGGAGAATGAAATGCCTTTTTCAGATGACATTGGAGTCACCTTTCTTTCTGCTCTCATATTCTTCCTCTTTGGATTTGTTTTCTAGTTGTGAATCTGTAGGAGGGAAAACATTCTTCCTGTGTTTCCTCTTAACACTTAATACTGAACTTCTCACCCTTCCAATCACCAAATGTGTGGTAGTTTTCCCACATCAGGCACTTCTGCAACACAGCTGGGAGTCCAGTTTAGTTCAATTCTGGGACTACCTGGTGTTACAGATCATCAGATCCCACAGCCAGCTGAAGGGATACGAAGGGCAAGGGTGCTGAGTCTGGAGCTTCTGTTGCAGTGAAATTAGAATGTGTCACCCTGCTGGCATGTTTACCAACACAGAAGCTGTACAGATCCTGTCCTTCAGCTTTTTATGGAGGCTTTATTATGTAGCCATGATTGATTAAATCATTGGCCTTTAGTGTTTAAATCAACCTCAGTCCCTTTCCTCTTGACTAAAGAGGAAGGGGAGTGAGACTAAAAGTTTCATCCTCTAATCACATGGTAGATATTCCTGGCAATCAGCTTCCATCCTTAGGGGCTTTTCAGGTGTCACCTCATTAACCTAAATTCAGGTGTGGTTGAAAGTGGCTTGTGAGGAATAACAAAAGACACCTTTATTCTCTTTAAGGGTTTTAGGAGCTGTATGCCAGGAATTAGACACAAGATATGTATTTCTTAGTATAAATCACAATATCACAGAATCATTCCTTTGTCTTGGGTTTCTGTTGTTTTGTTTTCCAATTTTTCTTTTATTGTGGTAAAATGTGCACAACTAAAATGCATCCTCCTAACCATTTTTGAGTGTCCAATTCAGTGGTATTAAGTAGATTTTCAATGCTGTACAGTTAATACCACCATTCATCTTCACAACTCCTCATCTTATAAAACAAACTCAATTCCATTAATCAGTAACTCCCCATTCCTTTCTATCACAGCTTCTGGCAGTCACCTCTCTACTTTGTCTTCTTAGGTTTCTAACTATAAAATTATTATTAAAAATTTTTTTAAATCCATTATAGTTAACATATACAGGGTTATGTTAGTTGTACATGTACAATACAGTGATTCAGTGATTCTGCACAGTAGTGCTCATCAAGATAAGTGTACTCTTAATCCCCTTCACCCATTTCACCCATCCCCCACCCACCTCCCCTCTGATAACCATCTCTAATTGTAAAATTATTAAATGTTTCTTTGCCTCAATGACCTATAAACAATGAGATTATAAATATATCTACATCATGAAGTGGTTGTGAGAATTTAAAAAAAGTGATAATGTTCATAAAGTTCTTAATGTCTAGCATGTAATAAGTGCTTAATATATTCAATACAAAATATTATCAATGTGTCATTTTATTATACAAATATAAACATATTAGTATCTTAATTTATGTGATTATAATTATATTCTATTTGATAATTATTGAAAACTTGTTTTGTGGGCATTTGTATTATAACAGATTGTTGACTCATGATTTTTCCTCTATTACTCACATGTAGATGCATAATAAATATTTGTGGAGTTGAGCTGAATTTTACTCTGACAGGATTTATTAAAAATTTATATCAAATCAGTTTGTAAGGTATTGATATAAATATGATACCCTGAAACTGGAATTATTTTATATTACATTTTCTCTGTGGTGTTTCTTAATTAAACTCTTCTGTAAATCATGTATCTAGCAAAATCATAGTTTTTTTACTTTTATATGCTCATGGGATAAGAGGGAAGTGTCATATATTCTCTGGGTTAACAGAACATCTGTGAACAAATAATTTTCAGAAAACAGAAGTGTGGATTTAATTATTACTACCAGGAGAACACATTAGTCACCAAAAAGCCAATTAAAATGTATAGATTGAAGGTTACTTTTATAGGATATAGCAAGAATCTCTGAAACATAGGTGTCTTATAAAACTCCTTTGTTATAAGTAACAATTTCAAGAACATTTATGAGGCAATATACTATTGTTTTTTGGCATCTATTGGCAAAGAAAGAATAACTTCATTGGATCTTGCTGAGGTTCCCCCAGTCCCAAAACCAGTGGTTTGGACATAACAGTCTCAAGGCTGAAGCACTGGAGTTCAGCTAGCCAGCATTGAAGGAAAATGTGCAAGCCTGATTTATCAAAATTTATAATATGGAAAGAAAAAAGGACATATTTTGATTATTAAGAAGTGGAATATTTGATAGTATGTGTTTAGTATATGAATAGCTCCTTGTTAATATTTAGACATCACTTAGATTTCATTTTTGTGAAAATCTCTTGTTTGATTCCTAAGTTTATTTTCTGCTATATATCACTTAGTATTCTTGAGGAAGTTTTTAATACATTTTTTAAGGCTTTAACTTTGAAACAGTTTGTAAGCTTAACTGTATAATATATGAACTACTATAATATTCTGTAGAGTTTTTAAAAAATTACTTCTCTAACTGCTGTCACCCAAGGTTTAATATGGCTTAATTCTCAATCTTGCACGTGCTGGAGGAAGCTTGACAAATCGTGGTTAAGCTCTGATTCCTTAGCAATATAGGTGTTGTCCAATAGTACTTTCAGTAGTGCGTCAATAATGATGTGTTTTATATCTGCATCGTCCAGCATTGTAGCCACTAGCCACATGTGGTTGTTGAATACTTAAATTGTGCCTAATATGACCAAGTGGCTGAATTTTAAATTATATTTATTTAAAATTTTAATTCAAATAGCTACTTATGGGTGACAACTATATTGGGCAACATGGCATAGAGATTGCAAAATCTTGGATTCTTCATGCCCCACCTCTTAGTTCATATTTGTATTCACACCAAAAAGACTCACCTTCAAGCAGTGAAAGAAAGTATCCAGTCTGGGGCAGTTTGGAGTGCATAAACCACCCATTGTCTTCCATGCAAAAGAAAGGGAAAAAAAGCAAATGTTCAGAAGAGAAAATACATTTACACAGTTGCTCTGAACTATCTGTGAACCAGGTCTTCACTTAATTTATCTTTTGGTGCATTGGTTTTTAAGCTTTACCATACTTTAAAAAAATCACTTGGAGGACATTGCTGGGTCCCATCACTACCATTTCTATTTTAGTGTTTCTGAGGTGGGAGCCTGAGAATTTCCACATATAATATGTCCCTGGTGATGCTGATTCTGCCAGTATGAGACTTGAAAACTGCTATTAGGGGATCCTTAATGGGACAGAAGACCATCTCAGTCATGGTTTTTTGACTATTGGAGCATCTGTTCCACTGCTGCTGTGTAAATATTCTCTTCAGCAGGCCTCATTTCTCTTTAAAAAAAAAAAAAAGAACATTCACTTGTTTTCCCATTCTCCAGCCAGTAAGAAAAAAGCAGGCTTAAATTGAGTTACATCTTTGTTGGCGTCATATTTTGTACTTAAAGAGGGGGAAAAGAAAATTTAGTAAATAGGGAAAAAAATGACTTGTGGGAAATAATGATTTTTGCTTCTCAAAATTTGTTCATGAATGCTGGAGAATAGGTCCTGGAGTGTTTTATTAATAGTAAAAAGAGACACTTATTGGATTATCTAAATTATCTAAATTATCTAAATATTCAAATATTATCCTGTAGTATGTTTATAACTGCATATTGTTTAAAGTGAAAACTCATTGGAGAGGCTGAGAAGATTCAGAGTAAAGTTGAAATAAATCTGAGTGATTTTTATTGAGGTAAGTGAGGGATTTGGCTGTATAAAAAATATGGAGGCTATTCCAGATAGGAGGTAATTATGTTAAATTGCTGAGACATAGAACAGGAAGGCAGTTTATGGGGGCCTTTGTGGTTCATTAGGTTAATATGGGAAGAAGGGTTATGTAGGAAAGTAATAAAATAAATCTGTAAGAGTGGAAGAGAATTAGTATGAGGAATTTGGGATTACTTAGGTTGAATAAGTACAGTTTATCTGATAGCATATATGTGACTGGAAAGGGAAAAATGTAATCTGAATAATGGGTAGAGTTTTTATTTTGGAAATTTGATGTCTTTTCTAACTTTTTTTTTGTCCTTTTTCAATCTCAGCTTATTGCAGAAGAATTTTGTCTAAAAACATTTTCCAAGTTTGGAGTGCAGCCTGTACCAGGTAAATGAAATTTAATATGAGTCCTTTCATCTGTTTGTAATGGTCAATATATTAATACTAATTAGTAATACTTTCTAATTATACTAGAGATACATGGAGATATAGTAAGTTGGGGTAAATGTAGATAAATTTAATCCAGAGGAAATGCATCTTTAAGCTATTTTTGATATATGACAGTATACAACACTTTGTGATGAATTAATAAGAAAATTTCCAAAATTTCTTGTCTGCCTTATTTGAATTAAATCTGTCTTGAAGTCTTCCATCTGTATCAGTTGCTTAGCAGATATTCTGAGCAGATTGTCGTAGAATGTTCTAAAATGTCTTAGTTAAGTGTTCTCTTTATGTATTTTTCTGTAAGAAGTACTTCATCTTCTAAAATTTTTAAAAAGTGAATTAATGGGAAGTCAGGTACCTTACCAAGGATAATTTTGTTTTAAATGTGGCCAGCAGCAGTAGAATATTTGTAGGATTGTAGATATGGTTATATACTATGTGTATGTATATACATATATTTGTGTGAGAAGGAAATTACATTTTTTCTTCATAGAATGATTTCAGAATGGATTTCTAAAATCAGTGGAAGTTATGTAAGATTTGAGGATTATATTGTTTTTCAAACAATGCTTCCAGGTTCTCCATTTTGAGTTTGAGTAAACTAATAAAAATAAATACCGTATTACAACAATGAGTCCATGTAAGCTGGAAGTGCTATGGCAGCGTGTTCTTAGGAAGGCCAGCTATATTTAGCTCTTCCTAAAGATCCTTAGACTCATCCTGTCAGTGTGCAGAGACTGTCAGTTCTCAGAAAGCAATTCACTCTTAAGCAGAACTCACAAGAAACTGACACACAGCTGAATCAGCATGTCTCTCCTGGCGGTCAAGCCTCATGAGAAGTCAAATCTTAAAAGCCTCATTGTCACAAAGACCAGAAATATTCATGTCAGCACATTCTTTCCATGTAGATAAGCCTACACAGGAATTAGAAAGTTATTTTGCTCTAACAGGAGTTGGATGAATGAAATGTTTAATAACATGAGGCTAAAATAGGAATTGTATTACTGATGGGTCTGTAGATACTTTGTGGGCTCCAACTCCCCATATTAAGCTTTATACTACTGATGGCTCATCACTGAGCCTGAGAAACACTCCCAAAGCAGATAAGTAAATCTCCCTCTTTCTGGAAGTGAATGGGAACTATTTAATATTTTTTCACCTGGGAATCATTTTTATTTTTTATTTTATTTTTATTTTTATTTTTTTTGTAATTTTATTTTTTTTCAGTGTTCCAAGATTCATTGTTTATGCACCACACCCAGTCAATCTTCATTTTTATAAAACTTTTGTGACTTTAGCTTCTTCTTCAGTATGTGTGCCAGTATGTGTACTGGTATACACAGTATTTCTTTGGTCGTTTTAATACATTTAGCCAAGTTACAATGTTGTGATGTTATATATATGTGTTCTGATTTGATCTTACAGTTTAACTCTCAGAGGGAAATTTTTTTCTTCCACTTTTCTTAGTTCCTAGGTAATATCTTTGATACAAATAATAGATTTCCTTTAAATTTCTTCAATTTAACTGTTTTTATTGAATTCATCATTGTGAATTCAAGGCCTCGATAAGAATTGGATACAACATTGCTGTAGGGCTTATACTTGTATGTATATAAATTTTTATGTATCTCTGATTATTTCTTTAAAAGCAGTCTGTATACATTGTTCTTTTTTTTTTTTAAGATTTTATTTATTGATTTGACAGAGAGAGATCACAAGTAGACAGAGAGTCAGGCAGAGAGAGAGAGGGAAGCAGGCTCCCTGCTGAGCAGAGAGCCCGATGCGGGACTCGATCCCAGGACCCTGAGATCATGACCTGAGCCGAAGGCAGTGGCTTAACCCACTGAGCCACCCAGGCGCCCCTGTATACATTGTTCTTGATACAGATTGTCCTCTATAAAGTTTGACCATTTTATGTTCCCACCAATAATGTGTAAAGGTACCCATTTCATGGGACCCTGAGCTGTGATTATTTTAAAGTGTTTGTTCTTCCCTAAGTCTGAGGGATAGACATCATTCAGACTATAGATGATGAAAGTATTAAAGTTGCTCACAATGATGGTGTTAGTGTTTAACACTTGCTCTTGAAGTTTATGTGATAATTTTGAAAGTAATTTCTAAAACAGTAGTGTTCTTTTAGAAATATTTTTAACAGCTTTATTGAGTTACAGTTCTATACCACTTAAAGTCAACTCTTAAATTCAGTGATTTTTAGTATATTCATAAATACAGTCATCTTCTAAAGTCAGTTTTAGGGATGTGCCTTTTTTTTTTTAATAATGAGAAATTTCAACATCTTAAAGATGTGTGGCTTTTTGCTCCTCCACCCAATGACTTCAGTATCAAGTAGTTTATAATGAAGGCATTGATTGACATGTACTAAGGAGTAAACAAGATTTTTAATGAAAAGTCTCAAATGCTGTCAATGATTATGAAAATGCAAAAGTGCTGTCTTGAAGAATTTTGAAATTAAAGATTTAATATAAAAAACTCTAGGAAGAAAACTCTTTATATCTTTTCTTATAGCTAAAAGACCAGCTTCAGGACAAAGCTTGGCTTCTGTTGTGTCTGCTCAGAAAATTACAAAGCCTGCCGCCAAGTATGGAGTACCTTTAACATATAAGAAATTTGGAGATAAAAAATTACATGAAAAGAAACCACTCCAAAAATATAAACAGGTATGATCATATTATAGACTGTGTGTTAGTAGCAAATTCAGTTTGATCTTTTTTTATTGCAGTTCAGTTCAGTTATCTTGATACTCATAGGATTCTTTTTATTAAGTTACTAAAGAAACATTGCTATTCTTTGTTTCACCAGTCTTCTAAAACTAAGAAGACTTACAGAAGTCACAAAGAAACATAAGTAGATAAATTAAGTAGTTGGTGCAGTAAAAAGAAAGTGATGTCATCAGTGAAATCACTTTTGAACAACCTAAGCAGAGCCATTTGTTTTTGTGCATAAAACAAGTAAATGTGATATACTTGATGAAAATGTGGGAAAATTTTGTATTTGAGAATTCATAATCAGATAAATTAATCAAAAACATAGAGCTGGAAGGAATGTTATTATACAGTCTATAATATTTCAGATGAAAATATTAACACCTATAGTATTTAGGTGAAATGCCCAAGAACACACAGTGTTAGTTATGGTAATCTGACATTTTTCTTCATGTCAATAGCTGCATACTTTAGTATATGAAACCGGTTTTGTTTTGGGCTACATGTGCACATGCATACATATGTGCATACACATGTGTTTAGATACATATGAACATTGAGCACACTGCTGTAAGAGGAATCTAAGTTAAAGTCTTTCATAACATAGTTCAAATGATCACCGTGAATTAGTCTTCAAATAAGTTGTATAATTCAGCCTCCAGTCAAGAGAAAAAAATACATATTAATTTGATCAAGGAAAGTTTAAAGAATTAGTAGCTATGTTTAGAGAATTAACTTTAAGGAATAAAGACCTTTAGAGAATATAAGAAGAGCAGATAAAGGAAGCAGCTTCTACTCCTAGCTCTGAGACATAGTACCCAAAGAAGAAACAGATTTTGGAAGATTGCCACAACCCCACCCTTAATGCTGAGATTCAAACCTTATTGGGTGTGGTATGGCTATAATTCACTGGATGGTGAGTTCACTGAGGTGTGCCGTAGGCTAAGGCTGGCAAACATGAAACTTCCACAGTAGAGCTGATGAAGCTCCTGAGAACCTGCCTAGCATGCCAGTGAAATGTACTGGGAAGCTGCCTGATGATTCATTGAATCATTGAATCTACTGGGATTGAATCTGCTGGAGCGCTGGTGGAAGTTGCCAGGTGTTGCTGAACTCTTTGCAAGGTAGGCTGGGCTGCCAGTTGGGTCACCAGTGGAATGTGGTGGGAAACTGGCCTTGGGGTTGCTGTCCAAGGTCACAGGGGAGCTGACAGGGGCACCAGCAGAACTCTCCTGGAAGTTGCCCACAGGGGTGAATGTTACTATGTGTCCCACATGCAGGAGGAACAAGAAGAAAGAAAGCCTGCTACTCAGGAGCAGAAGCCATTGCCTTCTGCACTATCCCTCCAACATCATCTGCGGACAAAGCTTAACATCATGCTAGCAAGCAAAAAAGTGTTTATATTGGCTGGCTTCTAAAAAGAAGGGTGAATTTGCAGCTGAGAGGCAATATGATAACTGGCACATGAGTTTTCCCTCCCTGCCTTCCTCCCTTCCTTCCTTCAGTTCTTCCATTTAACATTTATCTAGGCCTAATGGACCAATTCCATCCTATCTTTTATCCCTCTTCTTTAATCACCAGAAGTCCTGGACCTCTGGACTTTTCCTTCATTAGCTAGTCTCTCAATTCCATTTGACTTTGGTCATACCCCAATCTGACCCCATGCCCTGCATACCTCCCTAAACTCTTCCAGAGAGCCCTCTTACAGCACATTATCAGCAAAATCCCCTCTATTCTAAACTTGTAGAGTTTTTCTTCATCTTTTTTGCTCTATAATCTGGCTTGAATCTGAACATTCTGTTGTGCAACTTTCTTACATCGTGTCTCTTAATCCTTATACCACTGCATCTAGAAGTAGGATGACGGAGGTGTTTTCCTTGCTTCCCACTGCAAGACTCTTCCATACTCCCTAACCACAACCACCCCCAAAACTTTTGAGGCTTTTGCTACAGACTGTATCACCTGTTAACCTTCTGTGGGTCATCTGCATGCTCTCATTTTTAAGAGTTTAACACTTGACTCACGGTCACTCTTCCCAGTACTTCCTAATTCTTGGTGATTTTAGTATCCAAAAAAAACAAATGATCCTTCCAATAGTGCAGGGTCTTTTATTTTTTTTGATTGTTCTCGTTCAGTGATTTTGTCTACCACCCTACCTTAGAACTCTCACCTATAGTCATGTCATCAAATTTATCATTATTGATTATATCAACTCTTCCATAATCTCAATTATAAGCGTCCATGACTTAGCACTATTTCCTGTGTTTCCAGCTTATTCCTGGAGGATTCTGCCTGCACAGCTTCTTTGTCCTATTTGGATCCATGGATTTCACTAGTTTTTTTCAGTGTCCCTCTCCTCATTTTTATTTTCCTTTTTTGGCTTAAATTCCATGTTCTCCTTTTATAATAATTTCCAAAACCACACCTATCTTTCATTATTACAAATCACTTAGCAAGAACTAACTTGGTGAAATACAATTCTCCATCTCTTTTGAGCCTGAACTTGGGTAGTGAAATGTGATTGGAGAAAACATACAATTACTCTAACTGGTCTCACTTTAAGTTTATAACTAATAGTGTCAAGTGAACACCTGGCCACTGTATTACATTTCCTCAGTCCACTTACTCTCCCACTTTATTTAATTTAATTTTTTTTTTAATTTAAATTCAGTTAACATGTAGTGTATTATTGATTTCAGGGGTAGTCAGTGATTCATCAGTCTTATATAATACCCAGTGCTTATTACATCGTGTGCCCTCCTTAATGTTGATCATCCAGTTACCCCATCCCCCATCCCTCTCCCCTCCAGCTGCCCTCAGTTTGTTTCCTGTTTTTCAGAGTCTCTTATAATTTGTCTCCCTCTCTGATGTTGTCTTGTTTTATTTTTTTCCTCTACTCCCCTATGATGCTCTGTTTTGTTTCTTAAATTCCGCATATCAGATGCTAATTATCTCTCTGTGACTGGCTTATTTCACTTAACATAACACTCTCTAGTTCTGTCCATGTCATTGTAAATGGCAAGATTTCATTTTTTAATGGCTGAGTAGTATTCCATTGTGTATGTGTGTGTGTGTATACACATATACATACATACATACATACATACTACATCTTTTTTTCTATTATGTTAGTCGCCATACAGTGCATCATTGGTTTTTGATGTAATGTTTTGTGATTCATTGTTTGTGTATAACACGCAGTGATCCATGCCACATCTTCTTTATCCATTTATCTGTTGATAGACATCTGGGCTCTTTCCATAGTTTGGATCTTGTGGGCATTGCTGCTATAAACATTGGGATGCAGGTGCCCCTTTGGGTCACTACATTTGTATCTGTGGGGTATATAACCAGTAGTGCAATTGTTGGGTCGTAGGATAGCTCTTTTTTCAACCTTTTGATGGACCTCTGTACTGTTTTCCAGAGTGGCTACACCAGCTTGCATTCCCACCAACAGTGTAAGAGGATTCCCCTTTCTCTGTATCCTTGCCAACATCTCTTTTTTTCCCGAGTGGTTAATTTTAGCTATCTGACGGGTATGAGGTGGTATTTCATTATGCTTTTGATTTGTATTTCCCTGATGCTGAGTGATGTTGAGCATTTTTCATGTGTCTGTTGGCCATTTGGATGTCTTCTTTGCAGAAATGTCTGTTCATCTCTTCTGCCCATTTTTTGATTGGAATATTTGTTCTTTAGGTGTTGAGTTTGATAAGTTTTTTTTTTAATAGATTTTGGATATTAGTCCTTTATCTGATATGTCACTTGCAGATATCTTCCATTCTAAGTCAGTTGTCTTTTGATTTTGTTGACTGTTTCCTTTGCTGTGCAAAAGCTCTTTATCTTGATGAAGTCCTAGTAATTCATTTTTGCCTTTGTTTCCCTTGCCTTTGGAGATATGTCTAGCAAGAAGTTGCTGCAACCAAGGTCACAGAGGTTACTGCCTGTGTTCTTCTCTAGGATTTTGATGGATTCCTGTCTCACATTTAGGTCTTTCATCCATTTTGAGTCTGTTTTTGTATATGGTATAAGAGAGTGGTCCAGTTTCATTCTTCTGCATGTGGCTCTCCAATTTTCCCAACCATATTAGGTGAAGAGACGGTCTTTTTTCCATTGGATATTCTTCGCTGCTTTGTCAAAGATTAGTTGACCATAGAGTTGAGGGTCCATTTTTGGGCTCTCTATTCTGTTCCATTGTTCTATGTGTCTTGAGGATTACAACTTTGTAATAGAGCTTGAAGTCCAGAATTGTGATGCCACCAGCTTTGGTTTTCTTTTTCAACATTCCTCTGGCTATTCGAGTTCTTTTCTGATTCTATACAAATTTTAGGATTATTTATTCCATTTCTGTGAAAGAAGTTGATGACATTGTAGTAGGGATTACATTGAATGTGTAGATTGCCTCAGATAGCATAGACAATATTTTAACAATATTTGTCCTTCCAATGAAACATTTCCCCATTTCTTTGTGTCTTCCTCAACGTCTTTCATGAGTATTCTGTAGTTTTCTGAGTACAGATTCGTTGCCTCTTTGATTAGATTTATTCCTAGGTATCTTGTGGTTTTGGGTGCAGTTGTAAATGGGATCAGTTCCTTAATTTCTCTTTCTTCTGTCTTGTTGTTGGTATATAGAAATGCAACTGATTTCTGTGCATTGATTTTGTATCCTGACATTTTACTGAGTTCCTGTATGAGTTCTAGCAGTTTTGGGGTGAAGTCTTTTGGGTTTTCCACATAAAGTATCATATCATCTGCAAAGAGTGGGAGTTTGACTTCTTTGCCGATTCAGATGCCTTTTATTTCTTTTTTTTGTCTGATTGCTGAGGCTAGGACTTCTAGTATTACATTGAATAGTAGTGGCGATAGTGGACATCTCTGCAGTGTTCCTTACCTTATGGGAAAAGCTCTCAGTTTTTCCCCATTGAGAATGATACTCGCTGTGGGTTTTTCATAGATGG